CTCTTAGCACTGTAGCACTGTCCTGCCGTTGTTCATTGATGCTCAAGCGGACCCAGTAACGTCTCCATCGTGAGACTTGTTGTTATTGTGATTGGCATATCAAATACATCACGGGTGGCTTGTCAGGCTTTGCCAGGCGGGCGAGATACTTCTCTGAGAGCTTTATAAAACTCAACCCATGCCATCCTCCCAACAACCCCAAAGCACGCAATCCCAGGATGATGATTTCAGTGTTACTGGTGAGTAAGCAGAAGTCACTTGCCTAGGGACACAGAGCTAGGAAATGGGGAGGCGTCTTCCAGAGCTCCCACTAAAAACGGTCTCTGAATAGGGAATCAGTCACAACAACTGTGTGTGTGTGTGTGTGTGTGTGTGTGTGTGTGTGTGTGTGTGTGCTGCATGCACCTGCATAAGTTCCAGGCAAAGGAACAGCACCTGCAGATTCCTGGGGGGGCAGGAAAAGTCTGGCAACTCCCTGCAATTGGAAGGAGGCCAGCTGGTTTGGAACACTGTGTGCAAGACCAAGTGTGAGAGATGAGGGTGGAGAGCAGGCCAAGCTGGATCATGCCGGGCCTTGCCGGCTCGGGAGAGAAGAATGCCACGTCGGGCTGGAGCAGGGGCGTGCCGAGAGACGGTTACCTGACAAAGCGCACACAGTCCTGTGGACAGCAGGCTGCAGAAATACGAAGCCCATGCTTGGAGCCCAGTCTAACTGGAAACCAAGTGAAAAAGAGTCACTCCCTCCTCCCAAGCATGAAAGCAAACATCTCTTCTTCAGGGCAATGTCCAAAGGGACCAGGAACAAAATTTACAAAAGAAGAAATAAAAATGACTCATAAGCCCGGAGGCTGGAATGATAGCACAGCGGGTAGGGCGTTTGCCTTGCACACGGCCGACCCAGGTTCGATTCCCAGCATCCCATATGGTCCCCTGAGCGCCGCCAGGAGTGATTCCTGAGTGCAGAGCCAGGAGTAACCCCTGAGCATCGCCAGGTGTGACCCCCCCCAAAAAAAACAAACTGTAAATTTCATGATAAATGAGTCTCCTGCCCCCACCCCTGGCTGTCCTCGCTGGGGCCCCTTGGAGGGGAGGCGGGTTGAGTTTCTCTCCCTGCCCCGACCTGGGCTCCGGCAGCCGAAGACCTCCAGAACCAGCCACCACCATGCTGAGACCACTCTCCACACGCATGAAGGTACCGGCAGAGGAACAAAGGCATGCGTGTCCCGGGGCTGAGATCTCCAAGCCTGCTCGGATCTGGGCTGAACATCCTCCACCCAGATCCTCCAAATTCCAGTAGGCGGGGGTCACACCCACCAACTGGCCCCCTGGCACAGTGTAATCCCATCAACGGCCAAGACCCAGAGACTGTAAAACCCAGCTCTGACATCTTATTATCTCATTCTTACTTTGGACAACCTGGCAGGCTACGCAGGCTACCGAATGTAACCTGCCCACACGGCAGAGTCTGGCAAACTCCCCGTGGCGTACCCAATATGCCAAATACCAGTAACAATGATGGGTCTCATTCTCCTAACCCTAAAAAAGGGTCTTGATTTTGGCACTTCAAAATCTCAGGGCTAGGACGAAGGAGACATTACTGGGGTCTGCTCGAGGCAATTGACGAACAACAGGATGATCGTGATCGTGAAGTTGTAAACTGGCTCAGTCTTCCAGGTAGTCCAATTTTATTTTTGAACCTGGAGTAGTTCCTTGGATTAATGGTGGGGAGACAGACTCAGCATTGCTCAGTCATTGCCAGCTCAGGAGTGCTGAGCTGTAGTGCTGAGTGCTGAGCTGAGTGACACACAGTGTTCCAACAGTGTCCAAGGGGTCCAGCAGAACCAAGGACAGAGCCCGGGGCTCCTGCATGGATGGCCTCAAGCCCAATGTCCTCGTTCCCTATAGCCGGTTCTCAACTCTGTTGCTTCTTCCGGGTCACGCACACTTCGCTCTTTCCTCTTCTAGACCTGAGCCAGGTTCGATTCCCAGCATCCCATATAGTCCCCTGAGCACCATCAGAAGTAATTCCTGAGTGCGGAGCCAGGAGTAACCCCTGTGTATCGCCAGGTGTGAGCCTCCCCCCAAAAAAAGACTCATAAGCATGTGCTCAAGAACTGCAAAGAACACCATAGAACTGCACCTCTGAAGCATCTGTAACTATTTGTAACTATGTCACAAAGTCTCAAGAACCAAGGGTTGCAGCCAGGAAGCACCCCAACTCTGCCTCTGACCGATCCCCACCCTTCATTGAACAAGTCACTTGCTTCCTGTCAATCCAGGGGCTGCCTGGCCTGTAAAATGAGGCTAATGATACCCTCCGCCTCCCTCAGTGATGCTGTGAGCAAGAAGCGGGATAATGCGTGTGAAAGTGCTCTGTGAACATTCCAGTTATTCCTGTTAATACTCTCTCCTCATTATTCCTGACCTCGGGTCAACTGAGGCAGGGATGGCTCGCTGTGACCTCTGGATGGGTGCAGTGTTGACACTAACAACCCTGAAATGTCAGCATATACATTTCTACCATGCGTTACTAACATGATAATAATCGTATTTCATTCGAAACAAATCTAAGCTTTATTATTATTTTTTAAAAATTCTATGAGAATCTGTCTCTGAAAGACAGTAGCTATAGTTAGTCAACAACTTTTAAGTCTGTACCAAGAGTCGGGCCCTGTTCTGAAGTCCTTCCTATTAATGATCACCTAGTAGTCCCCAAAGGGAGGTTCTGTCATCACTTCCATTTCACTAAAGGGAAAACTAAGTTGGGCCATGCTTGTCCCTGAACTTCCAGCTCCCGAGTCCATGCTCGGACCCTCTGCCCTGCCGTGCCTTTAGAGGCAAGCTGGGGTATAGAATGGAGAGAAATTCTAGCCAGGAGGCCCAGCTCTCCATGATAATAGGGATCACACGTGCTGAGAAAAAGGAACCCTTGTTTGCTGTTGGTGGGAATGTCAACTGAATCAGTCTCTATGGAAAACAACCTAGAGACTTCTCAAAAAATTAAAAACAGCGCAACCCAGGAGATAGCCCAATGGTTCGAACCCTAGAATCACAGGATAAGGCCTCTGAGCATCGCTGGGTGACCCTAGTGGTCTCTGACCCCACAGAGTCCAATCAGACCTGCATCCCGTGCCTGAGCACCAAATCACCCAGTCCAGCTGGCTGTGCGTAATACCAGGAGTGGCTCTGGGGCCCCTGAGCACTGCTTGGCATATTTCCATAACACCCTCACTCAAAAACAGTCCTAGCATATAATCCAGAAATCCCACCACTGGGAATTTTTGTGTATCCAAAGAACACAACAACATAACATTGAAAAGATACATGCAACACTTAATGTTGCAGTACCGTTCACAACAGCCAAGATTTGGAAACAGTTCAAATGCCCAAGGACAGGGTGTAAAAGGAAGTGACGCCATCCTGGCATAATGGACTCAACTCAGCCTAGCAGAGAGTAAACCTTATATGACACGTTGTCTTCTATCACAACGTGGAAGCGATCAAAACGGTTCCCACTAAGCAAAATAAGTTACACGGAGAGATACAAAAATCCCAGGGGATCTCACTCCCAGGTGACACTTAAAGAAATAAAGCAAGGGACAGACAATGGTCAATGAAAGGAAATTTCAGACTTTGACCAGAGAATTGAGGTCACCCCTCAAAATTAAGGGGAGGTGGGCAGTGGGCTGCAAGGGTCCCACACGCTGGGCTGGAGGGATATTGGCTTCAGTGATGGAGAAGATATGAAAACATCTTATCCTGATACGTCACATGCTTAGAAGCCAATGTGATATCAGAAAAAATAAATTTAAAATCATTAAGTGATACTGTAGAAAATAGGAATGTGTATGTTGTGAGAGAAAAGACATAAAAAAAAAATCACTGGTTGAGGCTTTCGTAGTAGGTTGACTCCAGTTCTGAGCCAGTTCCTTACTGTGGCAGCCCAGACTTCACCATTTTATCCCTGGCTCTTAAACAGTGGGCCACGTCACTCAACACGGGGGTCACAAGAAGTTTTATTTCAGAATGACTGTACAACTTATCACCAGTAAATGTTTGGTTCGTATATCTATTTTATACATCTGGGGATGGATGCACACAAATGCCTCAGATGAAAAGGAGTTTCGAGAGAAAGAAGTTTAAGCCCTGCTTCAATCCTCTGAGTACAAACAGGAATTAAAAAAAAAAGTGCGATTCTCAAAGGTTTATGAAAATTGATGGATTAATAAATATATCAAGAGCATATACAGAATGTACTGTGAACCCAGCATGTGATGTTATTTATTCACAGTGAGGTAACTTAGGAAAAGCATCTCATTGTAACATTAAAAACAGTTGCAACAAATATTTAAAACAATGCAGTAACATTTTAACACTGATCAATCTCTAAAAGTGTAATAATAGACTTTTTGTTTTGGGGACAAACCCAGTGGTACTCAGGACTTACTCCTGGTTCTGTGCTCAAGGGTTTTCAGGAGTGCCAAGGATCAAACCAGGGTCAGCTGTATATAGGGCAAGCTCTATACTATATTGTACTATATCTCTTTTTCCTAAGATTAAAAAAAATTGCTATTTTCCATAGTTTCTTTACTCGAATATCGCAAGCAATACTAAGGTATCTCCACTTTTTTTCTAATAGACTTCCTAATATTTCTTTCAATCTATTAAATGTCTCCAGTATAATCTTGTCCATGCGTACTATATTTCTGAAACAGGGGAGTCAGCTTTTACTGATCTAACCTGGAGAGTAATACATTTTCACCTTTATTCTTCAAAGTCAAACAGCTCTAAAGAAGCCAATGTGCTCGCATTTCATCCTTTAAAAGATTTTTCTGCAGTCTTATACATTTGCAGATTAAGAGTACTCTGAAGGGATTATTGGAACATAAAAATTCAGGGAAGGAGAATGAATTAATATTCTCTAAAAAGCAAAGTGGAAGGAGACAAACACGACAACCTCATGAGAGTTATACAGAAGGAAAAAAAAAAGTATGCCTTACCTCAATGACCCAAAATGACCACAACAAATATCTCAGCTGCATGGACAACTTCCTCGTGTGGTGAAAAGATGAAAGCAATTCAGTCGGTCAGTGGCCCATCCAGTATGATGACAAGCATTCTGAAAGGGGAAGGAAAGGAGACTTGTTGAGGCCAGGGTGATGGAGAATGCTGCTTTCTAGACGGGAGGGCACCAGGGGAGGGGAATCCATTACAGAGACGCTGTGCCATTCAGACACCAGCATACAGCGAAGTCCTTTCCCGACTGGAAAAAAAAAAAGAGGAGGGGAGGGGAGGATCTTTTAAGATATCATGAAAACATAATCTGCTTTAGCACTCAGTTGCTATCACTTCCAAGAAAAGAACTAGCACCTCCCTTACCAATCTTGTCCCTTATCAGCCAAGGTGTGCGGTCAGCTTATGAATACCATCTATTTGATGTAGTTATGTAGTTATGGAACAAGCTGAAAATGGAGGTGGTGGTGGCGGTGGCTGGATGAATTCACCCTCCCAAATGTGGTCCACCATCTGAGTCCCCATCAACTTATGTTTTGGATATATATATATATATATATATATATATATATAGAGAGAGAGAGAGAGAGAGAGAGAGAGAAACAGGTCATATACAAGTGGTACTACATGGAAAGTATCACGCTAAGGGAAATTACTCAAAAAGAAAGGGACAGACACAGAAAGATTGCATTCATCTGGGGAACATAAAGTAACAAAATAGGAGACTAACACCCAAGAAGAGCTGAGATAAGTACCAGGAGGTTTACTCCATGGCTTGGAGGCCAGCCTCACAAGCTAGGGAGAAAGGCAGCTCAGATAGAGAAGGGAGCACCAAATAAAGGGTGTTGGGAGGATCCTCTCAGGATGGGCAATACGTGATGAGAGTAGACTATAGTCCGAACATGATTGCCACTCAATGTCTCTTTTGCAAACCACAGCACTCAAAAGGAGAGAGAGAATGGAGGGGAATGCCCTGCCACAGTGGTAGAGTGGGATGGGGGGATGGGGGGTGGGAGGGGTACAGGGATCAGTGGTGGTGGAGAATGGGCACTGGTGGAGGGATGGGTATTCGATCATTGTATAACTGAAACCCAAGCAAAAAACTTGTAAGTCTACAACTGTACCTCATGGTGTTTCACTAATAAAAATTTAAGAAAAAATAAAAACAAAAACAAACAAACAAACAAAAAGAATAGCACCTCTAGGAATTTTCCCTGTGAATGGCAGCAGCCCGGAATTAAAACCTCCGGACTGCTTTGTTGGCGATTCTCTTCATCATCCATCCGCATTCCCAAGATGAGCCCATCACCACCGGCTGTGAAAGCTTTCTAGCTCTGTCTTTTCACGCCTCTGCTGCACCACCACCAGATTCTCTGGCCCCTCTCTGCTGAGCACTGTCTTCTCTCCACATCCTGCCCCAGAACAACTGCTCTCAGACTCTCCTATTGGATCTTGTCTTTTCCTGACTGCAAAGCAAAGAACTGATTATCAGTTTCTCCTTTCTTGTTGTGCTTTGAAGTTCGACACATGAACTGGAGCTCAATCCTCCTGGCTGAAGCGCTCTGCAAAACCTTGACAAGTTAGAGTTCACTGGCACTCAACTGTTAGAGATAAAAAGGAAATCATATCATCTACCCCCGAGTTTCCCTCAGAATAGAATGCTGACATCCTGCATCTGAAATACAGATGGTACTCAACGGAACATAGTTACTCCTACCATCATCTTACCGGATGCTTTCACTTTTTTTTTGGAGGGGGGGGTCACACCTGGCAATGCACAGGGGTTACTCCTGGCTTACGCACCCAGGGATTACTACTGGCGGTGCTCAGGGGACCATATGGGATGCTGGGAATCGAACCCGGGTCAGACGCGTGCACGGCAAATGCCCTACCCGCTGTGCTATCGCTCCAGTCCCTGCTTCCACTTTCAAAGTCTCCATTTTTCTAGTTTCCAAATCTACCATTCTCTGACATCCATAGTCAGGATGGTAATAACTGCTTACTTCCAGCAAATAAAAACTGCTGATTTTTCTTACTAGCTCGACATTTTCTTAACTGCCCTCCAGTTTCCAACCAACTCTGTTTAGTTTGTTCTATTTAGTTTATTTAGTTTATTCTATTCAGGTCTTCTGTTCACTCGAGTCATCCTGAATAGGATTGGCAGAACACTAGATGAAGGACAACCATGCGAGCAAGCAGGGTTCCGCAAAGGATTCAGCACCATCGACCATATCCACATGGTAACCAAGCTCATTGAGGTTTCTCGGGAGTTCAAGATGCCGCTCTGCTTAACGTTCATTGATTTAAAGAAGGCCTTTGATTCTGTTGAGACGGAAGCGGTCATTGAAGCCCTAGCCAATCAGGGCATTCAAGCCCAATACATCAGGATCCTCCGTGAGCTGTATTGCGGATTCACTACCAGGATCTCACCATTCTACAAAGAAGTGATCGTTGATGTCAAGAGAGGGGTGCGGCAGGGTGATACCATTTCACCGAAACTCTTCAGTGCCACCCTCGAGAACATCATGCGACGACTGGAATGGGAAGGAATGGGAGTGAAGATAGATGGTCGGCAACTACACCACCTCCGCTTTGCTGATGACATTGTTTTAATAACACCAAACATCAGCCAAGCGGCACAAATGCTGGCCGACTTTGACCGTGAGTGTGGAAAGGTAGGACTACAGCTGAATCTTACGAAGACAATGTTTATGAGAAACAGCCTTGTTCCTGACACCCCATTCGCTCTCAATGGAACGACCATCTCCGAATGCAACAGCTATGTGTACCTAGGTCGAGAGGTCAACATGACAAATGACCTGGCACCCGAGCTGCGCAGGAGGAAGAGAGCGGCTTGGAACGCCTTCAAGAACGTCGAAGAAATAGCTAAGAGGACGAAGAACCTCCGGCTCCGGGCACATCTCTTTGATTCCACTGTTCTTCCTGCATTAACATATGCCTCAGAGACCTGGGCCCTACGCAAACAAGATGAGAACGCCATTCAGGTCTCCCAAAGAAGAATAGAAAGAGCTATGCTTGGAATATCATGTTTCACTCAAATGAGAGAACGAATCCGGAGTTCTGACATCCGTCGACGATCAAGGATCAGGGACGCTGTCTCATATGCCAAGGTGTCGAAAATCAGATGGGCTGGTCACGTAATGAGATTTAAAGACGACCGTTGGACTAGAGCTGTTACTGATTGGATTCCACGGGATGTCAAGAGACCGCGTGGCCGCCCACCTACCAGATGGTCAGACTTCTTTGTCAAGGTCATGAACGATCGGTTTGAGGCCCTCCATGTTCCCGGAGCGAAGAGATGCCATTGGGCTACACTAGCACGCGACAGGGACAAATGGAGACGTTACTGGCGCCCGCTCGAGCAAATCGACGACTAACGGGAAGTTAAGTGAAGTGATTAAGTGATTCAGGTCTTATGTTCTAGTTTTACTGATCTCTAACAGGGAACATTCCCACACTACCCAGCAACTTCTCCAGGCCCAGCAGGGTCACATACACTGGTATGAGGGAGACATGCAATAGTCGGAAACAAAATCGGGTCCCCATGCATACACAGTAATCACATCTTCAACCCCGTGAGCTATCTCCTTGGTCCCTTATTTTAATTTTATTGTTGTGAGGGTAATACACATCCTTGTTGGGTGCCTGGGGCCACTCCCAGGGGCTCCCAGGGGTAGATCAAACCTGGAACACTGCATAGACAAGGCTTGTGTTAGACGACTTGAGTCCCACCCCCACTCCCCAAATCTTGCTTTCTGAAAAACACATACGCTTCCTCCCCATTTCTGAGCCTCTTGGTTCCCATAGCAGATCTGCTGTCCTTATCTCTGGTGTCAAGGCCCAGCTTGAGTCCACTGCCATGGGAATGTTCATTCCCAAACCATTTTTTACCCTCGCACAGTATCATAACAGCACTGGCCTTTGCTTGGTATTTGTGGAGCTTAGCTGGGAGGGACTGTTCTAATAATTTTAAAACTATGCAGCTAGTTTTTTCACTGCAACAGGAATGACATTAAAAGTTGTTTGTTTGTTTTTCATAAACTGACTATGTTTTGAATCACCGGTACAAAGGCTTTGGAAAAATTATAAGTTTTTATGCTTTGAGGTAAGATTCTTTTATTAACTCCTTCATTTGTGTGTGTGTGTGTGTGTGTGTGTGTGTGTGTGTGTGTGTAGAAAGGCTCATGCAAGAGGCTTACTCCTTCATCAATGAATAGTCTACTTCTAAATAACTAAGGTTTCTCCTCATGGAGCCAGGAAACAAACTCTAAGTGTGTTCAAAATACTAAGTTTGGTCAACAAATTCTAAGTGGGTGTCAATGTGACTATGTTTGTTTTTAAACAAACCCAAATTCTTAGCAGCAACAGATTTGCTGAGATGACTCACAGTGAAGAAAGATGATTGGCTGCTAAGACAAAAGATGGTGATTAGAGCCCAGAACAGGGCCAGGTGGTTTAAGGCACTTCCCGCATTAACACAAGGTCATGAGTTCAAATCCAGGTACTGTTGCAGGAGTTGAATGATCTCAACAGTTCTGCTAGTAGGGTTCCCCCATCAAAAAGAGGCCAGAGAGATGAGTACCAGGAATTTTACTCCATGGCTTGGAGGCCAGCAACACACGCTAGGGGAAAAGGAAGCTCAGATAGAGAAGAGAGCACCAAATAAAGGGTGTTGGGAGGATCCTCCCAGGATGGGAGAAGCATGCTGAAAGTAGACTATAGACCAAACATGATTGCCACCCATTGCCTCTTTTGCAAACCACAGCACCCAAAAGGAGAGAGAGAACAGAGGAGAATGCCCTGACACAGAGGCAGGGTGGGATGGGGGCATGGGGGGTAGGAGGGATACTGGGATCCGTGGTAGCGGGAAATGGGCACTGGTGGACGGATGGGTACTCGATCATTATATAACTAAAACCCAAGCACAAAAATTTGTAAGTCTACAACTGTACCTCATGGTGACTAACTAATAGTAAGTAAAGTAAAGTAAAGGCCCTCCCGTTGATCATCGATTTGCTCAAGCGGGCCCAGTAACGTCTCCATTGGAGACTTTGTTGTTACTGTGTCTGGCATATCGAATACTCT